AACGCATCAATTGTCACATCATCATTTAATTATAGAGCATAAAACAAATTTTTAGTTTTATTTTTTAAATTCTATCACAGGATTGGATTCCATTGCACTTTCATATGATGAAACATTGATGTTTAGGGTTTGACTTTTGAAAATGGCAATAAATCGTTATGAATGAATGTTGTAGGGTTGTTCATGGCCCTTCAGCCTCGGATTATTGCGTGTGGCACAAAAAGGGCAACAATGGGGATGGGGATCCGTTTTATTTGTGGGCCTCTTCTTATGTCTGCTGCCTCTGTCGCCACTGGTCTAAGAGGAGTAAAACTTCATGCTGCCATAGTTCAGGTACTGTCGTTATATATGTATGAATAATTGGAGAAAATTACATGAAAACCATTGAGCTATATAGGTCGCTAGGTATTGCCACCTCAATTAAAGCTTTGTTATTACTTACGGCTAACTCCGTTCTCCTTTTAGGTCAAATCTATCGTTCAAGTAACATTAATGTCACCTTAATCTTTCATGATGATATGAAATGTTGAATAATTAATGATTTGATCAGGCAGCGCTTCCACAAGGAATAGTACCATTTGTCTTTGCTAGGGAATACGGGCTGCATCCCGACATTTTGAGTACAGGGTACGTTCCTTTTGTTCTCGTTTCTACTTCATCTTCATACATTGATTCATAATTTTATTGTATAAAATTGTAAAACTATAAGCAGTATAAAATATTTTGTGAAAAAGTCTTATAGGATTCTGCTTAGCTAAAAAGAGAGAAAGGGGGAAAACAAATCTTCGGGTGCTATGAAAAATCTTGAACCAATTATTATGGTTTTCCCTTTATTAAGGTGGTGAAATGTGAGTAGGCTTTTGCTAGCTTTCATTGTGTAGCCCAACCTTCAAACCAGACATTAAAGAAAAAGGAAGTTGAAAAGATTTAAAAGACAAGAACTATAAACTAGTTTATTAAGAGAAAAATGAACAATCTTCTAGTTTTCATCACTTCCCTCCTCCCAATTTCATTCATCAACGGGTCATGTGGGGGCAATGGTACTGTATGCCAAAAGTACCTAATTGATTGTTGTTTCACCTTGTCAAATGTTAATGTTGGTTGGATGCATAGTCTGTGAGTAGGAGCAATGTTATGGACAGTCGTCTAAGGAGAGTGGTCCACCTATCTGGTCAGTGTCCTGAACACTGTCATTATGAGTAGTTGTTAGCCGTTAGTTGATGTGAACCCATCATGATTAACTTTAAACATTGTTTGATATGAACAATTCTATAATGGACTTCGCATAAATCATTGACTAAGAATGTCTCTCACGCTCACGCGTGCATGGATACCAATTATAAGAAGTCTACCGGAAATTAATGTTAGTGGCATTGTATTTCTCTCACACACTCAACCACTTAACTTTAATGGGAAAAAAAAGTAAGAGATACTAATAAGGCAAGACTTAATCCAAAAAGTGCTTATAAACATAATCGAAAACTAAATTAAACAAAAATTTATTTGCCTCTAACTTCTGAAAAACTATCTTCGATAAAATTAGACACGCACTTAGTTGATAAAAATGCATAATTATTCATTCAATATGCTAATTGCAAGAAATATTTATAAGCTATGCCCTTGTTGTGCAGGGTTATTTTTGGGATGCTAGTGTCCTTACCAGTAACGCTCCTCTACTACATACTTCTAGGGTTGTATTAATGGAAATACAAGAAGATGATAATAAAAAAGAAAAAGTCTGCATTTTCAGCTAAAGCATATGAACTGAATCGTCTAAAGGCCAAAGTGTTGTGGGCAGAAAGGAATGCTCTCTGAGGTTTGGTGTCATAGTAGTACATAGACTAGTGGTGGCCGAAAGGAAGATGGAAATCATGGCTTATGATTAAGGTAGGAGACTTATTTTTCTTCTTGGGGTTGGGTAAAGTTTCCCCAACCAAACCATGTATTTTGACTCGAGAAAAAAGAAAAGGAGAAGAAAAAGGCTAAATCATGTTGTTCCTACTATTTATTCTTTTTTCCCCCTTTAATATTTAAAGCAATTATCGTACAATAGTTCTTGCTTTTTTGGTAACAACTTTTATATGTGAAGTCAATTAGACAGATTTGGCTTACAATTTAAGCTTGTCTTAGAGATATATATAGCATGATCATGACCATGATTATATCTCTTGTTGGCCCAAATGCAAGTGCCAAGAAGATTACATGGCAAAAGCCTATGACTCTATGAGTTATGACCCAAATCTGTATCATACGCGTGTGTGGTGGTGTTAAAGCTAGCCTTGTTGCATTCTTGAGACAGAAGTCTTGAAACATAATTATTGGTCGGTTTTTAATCTATTCAGTAGTCGTATATACTGCACCTGAAAAATATGTTCTACTCATCTCTCACGCCTTCATGTTTGACTTGTATTTTGATAAGATCCAATTGGCAAACAAAATGTCAAACGGCCCTCAATAATCAATTAGATATTTATTTGGTCATGGGGTAAAATCCGGTATGGGTACGAGAATGATGATCTTTATGAATTGAAGAACTTAAGAATTTGGGAATAAGGAATTAGAATCGGATCAACTCCTCCTCCTAGTAGATCTGATTCCTAGTTTTGAGGATATTTGATTAGAAATTTTACCAAGAAACTTTCATAATTTTTTATTTTGTATATGTATGTAAACGAAGGATAAGTAAGGAATTGGAATCATTCCAATACTTAAGTGTTAGTAAACACAAGGGAAGAAGGAATTCAAATGATTTTGATACCCATTACTAATAAATAAACATGATAGCGAGAGTGACGTCTTAATTTTGATTTGAAATAGTGTTTTATGATTTTTCAAATAAATTATCTACACTTTTAATTATTATATTATTGAATATATTTATTTAATAGATATTTTCTTAATTTGAAATTTTTACTTTGATTAATGGAATGAGAACCCAATCTTTGATGGGGAAATCGCAATTGATTGAAATTGATAAGTTTTAGGGGATGTGGGTGGGGAAGGGGAGGGCAAATCTGATCCCAAGTAGAAAAACTAGTATGAAATAGGGATAATACTGTTTTGCTATCATCGATCAATTATGCTATGTCAAGTGAAAAAATTATCACGCGCGACATAATTTGATTAATTAAAATAGTAAAACAGTATTATTCCTGTTGCACGTAAGTGTTTCTCATCCCGTTACTATCCCTATCTATCTGTGCACCTTCCTATAGCCTAGTACAGTGAGGAGCAATGGACCCCCTTGCATAAAATTACAGGCTAGGGTTCCATATTCTCAATTGGGCCTAAATCCCTAAGGTCCAATTCTTCTTACACTTTCAATGGAGATAGACCAGGCTTGGATGGGCTTTTATATGCACAGAAAAGCTCTTTTGCTGAAAGCTGGATGTGGAAGAATGTTTGAGGTAATTTTCAGGCAATAAATCACGTTTACCACTCTAAACTAGATGACGACTGACCCACTCAGACCATATGCACTACTGGTTATTTGTGGTGTAATTATATTTTTCTTTCTATTAGTCTAATGATATTTCTTTTTACTACGTGGAGGAAGATCCTAAATTCTATTTCTTCTTTCGTTAGATATTTTTTTCTTGAATAATTTTTTTAAGTAAACAGGATTTGTTTTATTTACTGAAAAGAAGGGGTGTGTAAGTATGTCGTCATCGTGAGTAATGTTGTACAAATAAAAGCAACAGACTACCAAAATGCAAGGCCACGATTTGAAGAAACTGATAAATAAAGTGATGAAGGAAACTGGCCAAACTGCAAGAGAAGGGAAATTGCATCCGTTGAAAAGAAAAGGGGAAGGAGCAGAAAATTACAAGGAGGAAGAGAAACAAAGCTCAGAAGATGGAGATTTTCTTTGAAGAGAAGACCAAGGAGAACAAAACTGCTGCATCTGCATAGTCAGGAGTTTGATTTCTTTTATCTTCTTTGCTATTAATTCTCTGGTTAAATTGTTTTTCTTATGAATTTTATGAGCTCTCTTGGCTAAAACTAAGATGGTATCTACCTTCAATTGAATCTATATTTTGATTTAATTAATTAATTAATTATTTAAGTTAAAGAATAAAAATTGAAATTGAAAAAGAATAAAAATAGAAATTTGTTCTAACAAATTATAGTTTGTTTGTATCTTCAATTTTTCGGTATGCAATCTATTAGGCCTTTTATGTGTATGTATATATTTTAGAGAATATGTATTTTATATTTTTAAGCCCAAGCTACAAGTCATTGCATTCTCTTAGTTTTCATATAGGAAGAATAATTCCTATTATTGTTTTGTTAATGTAAACAAAAGATTGCTTGGAAAAAAAATGCTATACAAATTTTGTTTGAACAAAAATTATAAAAGAGTTGTTTCGTTAATGTGAAAGTTCCTTTGTTTACAATTATCATTAAGCCAAACATTCTAAAATGAATCGTATTTGCAAATAAATAAGAAGTAAGTCCTACAAATCACAATCACACATATGTGTAGTAACTTTTCTTTTAGGAGATTTTAATAAATTATTTTTGCATATGTGTCGCGTTGATGCTTAAATTTGATTCAAGAGTGAGATGACCTTTTCGACATCTAGGTCACGCAATTCTTTCGGACCAGGTCAAGAGGGTGACATCAGTGTGGTGTTAACCAAAAACCCTCCGATACTTAAGTCAGTCGAGTATTTGAGAGCAAAGTATACGATAGTTTTGGTGTTTAGAATTGCATAACTTTGAGAAAAGGTCGTAAAACCTTTCTGATCATAGTCATACTTAGGACGATCTATTCCTCCTTGGACTATGACTCCCTATAGGTAGACGTGTTTAGAATTGCTCAACTTAGCCTAGCCACTGAATCTCGAGCTTAGCTTGACGACCAGGGCTCGAGTTGAGCTCGATCATTTGAGTTTTAGACAAACTTAGCCTAGAAGTATTTTACTCAACAACATATCAGAATTACGAGTAAAAAACTCAAGTAGTATTCTTTGCAAATTGCTTGCTACCGGAGTACGACTATGTTGTATAATTGATACTTTCCATTTTTAAAATATATCTACGCGTTAAAACACAATATCCAAGAATATTATTCAAACACCACACTATAATTATTGTCTAGAATATGATAAGATAAAGACTTTGACGACACGTAGGGCCCTCCTAAAATGTGGATCAGTATGCCACGTTACTTTCCAAAAGAAGAAAAAACCAGAAGAACCAATGCCACGTTGCACTTCCTACAGAAACGAAGGCGCCGCTGGAAATAAGCCAAAACAGAAGCGGTCATATACCACTAGAGAGCAGTGGTTTTTTTATTTTCTCTATAGAACTACAGTTGCGCAAGTTGAATTATTTTTCCATTTTGTCCAATCCAGAAGTGGTTTTCTCTCCACACACCCACGGACACACAGAATTAACGTTTGGGTTCCAATCCGAGAAACAACCCTTGGATGGAAAATGGTTTTATCGTACATTGAATTTCAACTTTCTTGTTCATCACAAAAAAATAATAATTATTCTCCACTTTCTGTAGCGGTTGTCAAAATCACAATATAAATAGTGCCTTCACATTCTCACTTTCCCACATCCAAAAACAAATACTTTTGATCGTAAATTAACAGATAAACATCACAAAGTTCTGATACAATGTCTACAGCTGGTCAGGTTATCAAGTGCAGAGGTAAACCCAGACCTCTTGCTCTCCTTTGTTAGATTGTTCTGCTCATTTCATTCATTTTTATAGAATCCCATTTATGTTTTTTGTTTTTTTCAGTTTTTTTTTTTTTTCATTTTTCTGATCAAGTTTTATTTTTTGGTTATACCCTTTGTTGGGTTCTCTGTTTCTGATATTTTTTTTAGTGATTCCAATAATTGGGTCTGGTTTGTTGAGTCTTAGCTGATTTATACCTTTGTTTCTGGTTACATATCTTGTTTTCTTTTGTGCTTTTACATGATCCTGGTGGGTTTTTTTTTCCTTTTAACATACAGATGCTTGATCTTTTCCTTTATTTCTTCTCTCTTTTAGTTAAAGTGTTTTATAAATCAATTAATGATGATGATTGCCTTTTGATCTGGGTTTTCTTGGATTGGATTTGATGGGGATGCCAATTTCAGTTTGGAAAATTTCTAAACTTGACTGAACAGAAGAAAGAGACCATAACTTTTTGGGTCAATTGTCTTGCCAGGGGACTGATCTTCTAGTTGGTTAATAATATTGATTAAATGGATGTATTGTTTACTAATTGCATTGGCATTTGTGGATTGTAGCTGCGGTAGCATGGGAAGCGGGGAAGCCACTATCAATTGAGGAAGTGGAGGTGGCACCACCACAGAAAGAAGAAGTCCGCTTGAAGATCCTCTTCACCTCTCTTTGCCACACTGATGTCTACTTCTGGGAAGCCAAAGTAAATTTTTATTATACTCTTACTGGCATCGAAGTAAATTTTTATTATACTTTTACTGGCATTGTGTTGAACTATATCCATATCATGATGGCAAAAGAGAACGATTTGGTTATAATCTGCCTAATTGCTCACCATTATTAAGCATGATTGAGCATCTGTTTATTATTTTGGTAACACATGTTTCCCCTCAAATGAAACAACTCCTGTACATGTCATTTTCTTTTGGAACTGAATCGTCTCTTTTATGTCACAGGGACAACACCCACTGTTCCCTCGCATTTACGGTCATGAAGCTGGAGGGTATGTTTGCTAAATTTTGAGTTTCCCTTGTAGACTGAGTATTTTTAGTTTCCTAAATTTTGCTTGCTTGGCAATTTTTTGTTTAGAATTGTAGAAAGCGTAGGTGAGGGTGTGACTGATCTCCAACCAGGAGACCATGTCCTTCCGGTGTTCACGGGGGAGTGCAAGGAGTGCAGGCACTGTAAGTCAGAGGAAAGCAACATGTGTGATCTCCTGAGGATCAACACTGACAGGGGTACTATGCTCAGTGATGGCAAGTCCAGGTTCTCCAAGGATGGAAAGCCAATATATCACTTTCTTGGTACCTCTACCTTCAGTGAATACACTGTATGTCATGTTGGTTCCGTCGCCAAGATCAACCCTGCAGCTCCTCTTGAAAAAGTTTGTGTTCTTAGTTGTGGAATATGCACAGGTTTGAAACACTTCTCACATTTTAATGGTTACAATGTCAAATAAGATTAGTGGTTTCTTTGTTTTTGTTTTCCCTAATCAATTTCTGTGTTGTTCATTTAAAGGTTTTGGTGCCACTGTTAATGTTGCAAAACCCAAAAAGGGCTCATCTGTTGCCATTTTTGGACTGGGTGCTGTTGGCCTTGCGGTAAGTTATTCTTATGTTTTGATCCTCTGTTATGGCGCTTCCGGCTAGTTTGGATTATCGTGATGATTTTTCTTGTTCATTACCTGTTACTTTTTAGGCTGCTGAAGGTGCAAGGGTTTCTGGGGCTGCAAGAATCATTGGAGTTGATTTGAATCCCAACCGATTTGAGGAAGGTCAGTCTTTTTTAAATATCCATCCAAGGACTTACTGTGCTTCATGTCCGGTTCAGATTAAGTTGTCATCGACTGATATATCTTGCTTTTTTGTACTCACTGGCAGCCAAGAAGTTTGGCGTGAATGAATTCGTGAATCCAAAAGATCATAACAAACCTGTGCAAGAGGTTAGTTACAGACTTTTTTATCCCTTCACCCGTTGAGGAATTGACCTAAAGATTGCCCCTTGTCTTCGTAATACATTTACAATACTGATCTTATTGAAGCCAAATAATGCAGAACGACTTCTCCCATGTGTACTTGATAAGCTTTTGATTATTGGTTAACAGAGACATTTGGACTTTTATGTTGGTGATTATTGGTTAGCAAAGACTTAACATTTGAATTTTGACAAAAAGGTGATTGCTGAAATGACCGATGGGGGAGTGGATAGGAGTGTTGAATGCACTGGAAGCGTCCAGGCGATGATTTCTGCATTTGAATGTGTTCATGATGTAAGCAATTATAAAGTTGTAGGTTGTTTCATTTGATAAGATATTAGAATATGCAACCACATTGCTTTTGAGGTTTAAAATTGAACTCTCCTTCCTCTCTGACTTTAGGGTTGGGGCGTTGCTGTACTCGTTGGTGTGCCTAGTAAAGATGATGCATTCAAAACCCATCCAGTGAATTTCTTGAATGAGAGGACTCTTAAGGGCACCTTCTATGGTAACTACAAGCCCAAATCCGATCTGCCCGGTGTTGTGGAGATGTACATGAATAAGGTAAGTTTGTATTTCCTTTCAAGCATGTTTGTGAACAATTTTCAAACCTACCAAGAACTTTGCTTATTTAAGTATATGTGTTCTTAGATGGACAATATTTAAGGTTGTGTTCTTTGACTGTTCTAGTTGTTTGAGGACAGTTTTAATTTTGAATATGATGTTGTAAAACTCTACCTTGTGTACTGATCTTGCAGGAGCTGGAAGTGGATAAATTTATCACTCACTCGGTCCCTTTCGCTGAGATCAACAAAGCATTTGATTTGATGCTTTCAGGACAGTCCATCCGGTGCATCATTCGCATGGAGGATTAGAGCAACTCGGGACTTGTTACGTGTTAATGGGGAGAATTTATATATCTATCTGATGTCTTAACTGAAAGAGAGTGAGACTCCCCTACAGGAGTCGAACCTAATAAAGGAGTAGTCTTTTCTTAGTATTTGTTGTTTTGTTTCCTTTTATTGTTTTGTTTCCTTTTGTTGTTTGTACGGTACCCCTAAAAGAACTAGTAAACTTATTCCTTTATGAAGAATAAGCAGAATGAGAGTGAGACTTCCTCTATAGGAGTCTAATGATACTTCAGTAGGGGTACAAATACTATGAAAGCAAGTAAGAACTAAGGAGTAATTCCCCCCAGGGGGATTTAGGGGGGAAACGTTCCTTAAGAATAATTGTGTTGGTGTGGATTGTACAAATTTTGAGAGGAGCTACTCAAGATTTCCCAAATTTTGATATAATGGTTTTTATGATAAATAACATTTTCTGCATATTTTCTTTAGATTCCCTTTTATAGATATGCATGTCGACATGTTTTTTCTCCCGCTACCAATCTATGAAGGTATCCGAATTTGGAGCTTTGTGCTCTGGTTACATATTTGCATTAGGTATTTGGAAGCATGCCGATGTGCTTTTGGAAGAATCCTGGTTGTGTATGTTTTGAAGTACTAAAGTGAAGGCAGAGATCCGGCCTCCTTGCATCCAAGTTCCAAATTCGATGGATGTATCG